TCAGCTGGCCACATTTGAGTCAAAGGCTGGTCAGCAGATGGAGGTTGGCAGGGTTCCAATCCCAATAACAGGGGCATGTTTTCGTGAATGTCACCGTGACGTGAAGGTTTCAGTCCCCTGGGGGTGACACATCGGTGCCTTCTCATCAGCAGAGCTCCACTGAATCCAGCAGTCTGCAGAGGAGGGCAGGAGAGGATTGCAGAGGAAGGTAGGGTTGGTGGGGCCCCTCTCTTGCCTGGGTGTGACAGGAAATCCACGGAGTGGCAGTGAGAAAGGGTGTTGAGGTCAGATGGAGCTTCGTTCCAACCCAGGTTTTCGCTGGGTAGGTGTATGACCTTGGATGGCATTCCTTAAACACCGGAGGCCACAGTCTCCTCATCTCTAAAATGGGATAGTGGAACCCAAACCTCTGAGACTCTCGGAGGTGAATTGAGAAATGCAGCAATTGGCACATAGTAGGTCTCTCTTAAGCCCCCCCGCCAGCCTCCCTGGGGGAAAGTGTGTACTTGTCATTTGAAAGCTCCAGGCAGCCTTAGACAATGTGTATGTCTCATTTGTAAAAAGCTTTTTATTTTTATTTTTTTTAAAATTGTAAATGGAAAAGGGACTGAAGTGCTTGGCCTGAGGTTCTGATTGAGCTGTTTGGGCAGTGGAAGCTGAGTGGTTAGAGCGGGCCCAGGTGCTGGCATTGCCTGTGAAGTGAGCTGATTGTCACTGTAGGTTCCAGCCAGACCCTCGCCTTGCCTCCTTCCATATAGTGGCCAGCAGAGTATTTGGAACCTGATCCTGTCATTCATTTTTCTGATGCTCAGGTCAGTTTGGTGGGGCTGCAGTAACCAAGGACCCCGGACTGGAGAGATTAAAGAACAGACTTTTATTTTCTCACAGTTCTGGAGTCTGCAAGTCCGAGATGAAGGTGTCAGAGGGATTCCTTCTGAGGCCTCTCCCCGTGGCTTGCAGATGGCCGTCTTCTGCCTGTGTTCTCCCACGGCCTTCCCTCCGCGTGTCTGTATCCTAACCTCTCTTCTTATAAGGACATCAGTTGTATTGGACCAGGGCCCACCCTGATGACCTCATTTAACTCCACCGCCTCTTTAAAGGCCCGATCTCCAAATACAGTCACACTCTGAGAGGCTGGGGGTTAGGGCTTCCACATAGGAAGTTGTGAGAGACACAACCCAGCCCAGGACCGTGTGCTCGCTCCTTTGTGCCAGCACCTGGGCTCTGGGAATGCAGACAGACGTGAGGGAGATGCCAGCCCTCCTGTTGCTTAAGTCATCAGTGTTCTCCTGCTGCCCAAACTTAGCAGGAGCATTGAGACCCAGGCTTTGCCCCTCTCCAACATGGACCCCCAGGCACCCCGAGCCCCAGGCAGGCCAAACCTCTGTCAGGCCCCACAGTACACTGGACACGCCACCCAGCATGGTGCCACGGATGGTGGGACCCAGGGCAAGCCTGGCTTTCCCAGGCCAGAGCCTGGCAGGGCGGAGAAGGCTTGAAGAAATCGTTTCACTTTTGCTTTCTTCCACTGGGAATGTTCCAGGAAACTCCCTGGTCCTCCCAACTTTAAAACTCCACCTGAGACTTTATCAGTTCTCGTTGGAACTTACCCGCAGGGACCTTTCCTATTCAGAGCACAGGTGGCTTGTTGACTCTTTAGGAATAAGGTTGTGCTTGTGCAGGGGACATGCCAGAAGGATGCACGTGGGACCCTCAGTGGCTTCATTGCCCTTTCACGCACCAGCATTTTGCTTTGTTTTAAAGTAGACAGGTCCACAGGGTGTGTGTTCACCCAGGCCCGGCCTTAGAGGATGGATGGGCTTTGCTTACAGCTTCGTAGCTCCTGCCAACTCAGCCTGTGAGCAGCGGTGCGCACGTCCATATTTGCTTGAGATTTTAGTAGAAATAACATATTAAAGATAATGATGAAGTCCCTACATTCTCCTTCCAGTTCCCTCGCTCTTTCCCTGGAGTTTATCACCACCATGAACTTTCTCTGAGTCAGTCCTGGTTTTATCACACACACATACACACACACACACACACACACACACACACACATACATCCAAATAATATATGTACACAATACAGATACGTGTATATAATATATACATATAGATATTTGTGTGTACATGTCCACGTATATCCAAAAATACACAAAATATGGTTTATGCTGTAAAATTTACTTAAATGGTACAATGAGCATAGTATTCTACAATTTGCTTTTTTAAAAATTTTTTTTTATTTTTATTTTAAGCTCAGCATGGTTTTGAATTTTATTTAAGCTGACACTCACATAGCTATAGCTCATTCCTTTTACCGGCTGTATACTGTTCTACCCATGACCATCCCATGACTTACTTACTGATTAGCCCTACTGTTAGCCGTTTGGGTTGTGCCCATGGGCAGGTTAGACCAAACCCAGGATTCAGTCTGAGCCACAGTCGAATAACGTAAGCAGTTTCTGTTCCGCGTCTTTGGGGTGCCCGCCCCTCCAGCTCTTTAGCGCAAAGCAAGTAAGTGCTGTGATGCCAGAGTGGACGCCTCGTGATGTCAGTCCTCGCTGTCACTTCATCTCAAGTCTTGGTCCAGCATCAGTGTGTTTTGGCATCTCCTTCGGCCCTGCCTTCTGCAGCTGGGAAATGCTCTTATATGGCGGGGTGACTAACCTGAGAACGACATCAGGGACCCCGAGGGGCTCGGCATCACTGGGCTGAGTCCCAGCGGGGCGCGTGAGCACGCAGAGTCCTTCCCGCAGGCCCCGGGCTCTGCCCGAGAGGGAACTCCGCAGGAGGGGCCACATGTGGCTCCTGCCAGAGGGAGCCAGGCCTCCCCTCCGGAGGGCGGTTATTTTTATCTGAAGCTCGGGCTCCGTCAGGACCCTGGAGAGTTTCCAGGGTTGGGATGAGAACTGCCTCTTTCCCAGAGCAACTGGCCTCTGCTCTGCCTCCTGGGATTCCCCGTTCTACTGTCCAGGCTCCCGGCTCCAGGCTCGGCTCCTCCCATCCCTGCTCCACTCGGTGTCTTGCCCCTGAGGGTGTCCTCCTCTGGCTGCCATCTTTCGGTCCCAGCCAGCGCGACTGCTGAGCACCTGGTGGTCACTAACGAGCCTTGTTGAGGAGGTCAAGCCTCTTAGGGTTCCAGATGGGTCAGCACTGAGGCACGGCCGGCAGCCTTCCCACCCAGGGGCCCCGCCCTCCAGCTCCCTTGGGTCCTCAGACAGCCTGTCCCACCGGATCGGGGCTGTGGCTCTCCTTGCCTATCTCCCCAGCCGGACTGGGAGCCCCTTGAGGCCAGGGGCAGTGTCCTCTTCATCTTCATGTTCCGGGTTCCAGCCCAAAATAGGCGCTCAGTGAAGGTCATCAGGTGACTGACAGCTCTCCCCGGGGAGAACGCAGAGATGGAGAGAGACGTAAAGGAACACACTCGCTCAAGCCCTGCCTTGCCTTTTCGGACCAGGTGACAGCCAGGAGGAGGGTCACAGTTTGCGTGCCTTTAGTGGAGGTGAGACCTCTAGCCTCCAGGGAGAGAGGAGCCAGGGTAGCATGAGCGGAAATCCTGGACCCTCAGAGTCACCACACCTGGCGTCAAGACTCAGCATCTGCACTTACTAGTACAGCAGCCCTGGGCTTGTTGCGTCTCCACCCAAGGCCTCAGCTTACCTATCTGTAAAATGGGAGCGATGACAGACCACCAGATGGATTGCCCTGGGATTGGGAACGATGTGAATGAAGTGACCGGGTCCTTGTAGCTGCTCAGGAAGAGTTTTTAGAAAGAACAAAAGGTACAGAGGGAATTCACCTAATGGAATTGGACTTTGGGATTTTAAAGCCAGTCGGTGCATTCGAAGACTAAGGCAGCTCTTCATAACACGAGTGCCAGGGAAGAAAGGTTCGGAAGAGGATTAGCTGAGAGAAGGGACTTGTAGCCTAAAGGCAAGGAAGGACCTCCGAGACCCTGGTGGGTCATAAAAGTGAGAGCGTTCTTCCCTGCAGCCGGCACTGTGGCTCTCCGAGAGGGGCGATGTGCCCCTCAGCCCGCAGCCCTGACAGGTGTCAGAGTGAGGGTTCCAGGAGCGCGCTTTGGGACGTGCAGCTCTGTGATGGTGCCCTGAACGTCGGGGAGCCCCAGCCCGCCCTCTCTGTCCCCTCACATTGCTGTTGGTTTTGCCAACCTACAATAGTCACCATCCTGATGTGTGCGTCGGGTACTGATTACCCGTGGGAACCACTAACCCAGCCGCCAAAAGGGTAACGCCTGGCAGTGTCCGGAGTAGACCATGTGCTTGGTTGTTGAGCAGGTTTGCCAAGCAGGCTCAGGGGGTCAGAGTGGGGTACACAGCCCCCCTTGGAGGTCCTCCCTCTTTGTTGACCCCAGAGCAGGCAGCTGGGTTCCTGGCTGGGGTTGGGTGACATGTGGGAGTGTTGGCGACTGTGTGGGCCATGATAAGAGGAGCCGCCTGCCATGCAGAGTCTGGGGGTGCCTGTTCCCCACATTTGGCAAACTGAGTCCACCTTCACGGGGACGAGGAGCATTGGTTCAGGGCAACTCCTTTGGCGATGTGAATGACCTTATCAATCTCTATTGGAAGCAGGAGCTGGAACTTAACCCAGTCATAGACCCACCAGAGTCCTGAATGAGGAGAAATGCTGACTCGCAATGAGAAAAGATGGGACAGGGAACTTGGATCCAGGAGAGACTGTGCCAGGATGTCCTGTGTGGAGTCCGGCCAGCTGGCCTTGCTGGAAACCCTCAGCTCTGCCATTTCCTGTCGGTGGGACTTGGGTTACTTAGCTTTTGTGAGCCTCAGTTTCCACATATGCAAAGTGGGGGCAAATACTATCTACTCCAATCATTGCTGAAGCCAACACCTGAGCTGGCTTAGTACTGACCGACGGCCCCCTGCTGCCCTCTGCTTCCTTTCAGAGCCTGAGCCCCCAGCTCTGCCCAGGAGCCCAGGCCGCCCCGTGGCCCCAGCGCCGGCTGCAGGAGAGGAGCCATGAGCTGCATCCCAAACGGCCTCGCCCCCCTGGGGCTGGTGCTGCTGCTCTGCGGAGCCCAAGGCTTCTTCCTGCCCAACGTCACGCACTTGGAGAAGCTGCTCAGCAAGTACCGGCAGGACGGGCCGCACGCGCGGGCCCGCAGGGCCATCCCCCGGTCGGACCAGGAGGAGATCCTCATGCTGCACAACAAGCTGCGGGGCCAGGTGCACCCCCCGGCCTCCAACATGGAGCACATGGTGAGTGTGCGCGCCCCGCTTTGTGCTCAGTCCCTGTTGGGGTCCGGGGAGGCAGAGGGTCCCCTGCCTTGTTCTCCGTGTCCTGCCAAACAGCTCCCGTGAGCAGAGGCCGCCTTGTCGCCAGCTTCTCTGCCACCTCCCTGAGCTCAGCCCTCCTGCTGCCCTGAGGCTTCCAGAGGTGGAGGGGGGGGGGCGGGAGGGGCTCGGGGCTGGGCTGCCACCTCCTCCCTGTGTGGCCTGGACACCACCAGCCTGAGCCTCAGTTTCCACTGGGAGCATCCTGTGCTGCCACGGTTCCTGGGACAACTGAGCTCAGACCTCACCCCGGGCTGTGGGTTACTGTGGTTACTGTGGCAGCCTGGTCTTCCTCCGGCACCTTCTCTGTCCAAGAGGGTGTGGCCAAGGCCATGAGATACGGTGTCTTTGGGAGGGAGAAGGGAGAGTGTGGGGGTCCCCTCTGAATCTGGAGAAACCCCACACGTAGGAGCAGAAGGGGCAGCCCGCTCTCCCAGGTCCAGATCTCTTCCCCTCTTCCCCGTGCCTTCGCTCACCCATTTTCATTCCTGTCGGTACCACCTCCCATTCCCCAGCCCTGGGAAATAGGTGCGGTTCTTTTGCCCTTTTAATAGATTAGGAAACTGAGGCCCAAGGCCACACCGCTGGCAGTGACAGAGCCAGATTCGAACCCGAGTCCAGCTGACTCCAGGACCTCAGCCACCACTCTGTGTTTCCCACCCCATCTTCCCATCCTGCTCCTGTCTCGCCTTGATTAGGGCACAGCCTCAGCCCTGGGGCTTTCCCTGCCCACCTTGCCCTCATCCAGCTCGTTCTGGGTCCTGCCATCATGTTACGCTTCCTATATCTCCTCTTCCTACATCTCCTGCTCAGGAGCCTCGAGGGCCCTCTGTGCCCAGGTGGGAGCCCAATGCTTCCTGCTTGGCATTCCAGGCTCTTCTCAGGAGCCCTGTCTGTCTTGGTGACTAGTTTCCCTCCTTCCGCTTTGGCCAGAGAGGTCTTCCGGGTGTCCTCTGAGGATGCTGCGTGGGGACAGCTGCCCTCCCTCCCGGAGAACACTTTCCCGTCATCACTTTCTCTGTCCACCTCCGCTGCAGCTGCACCCTGTGCCCGCCCTCCTTCCCGGGACTCAGCGGGCGCTGCCATGTTGCCTTGAGCCCTGACCTTGGTAGCACTCATGTTGGGGACCGTCCTGTGTGCCCATGTGCCTGTGAGCCCCTCACTGTCCCTGTATGAACCCACACTAGGCGGCCCATTACCAGCTTAGGGCCCATGAACGGGCCACCCGTCTGGGCAGAGCCCTGAGAGCAAGACTCCGGGAAGTCATTATGAAACATTCCTTTTCTCCCTTAAGAAAACCGTCCAGGCATTTATTCCAAAGGGGCTGTGCTAATTTTAGGAGGAAGAACGGGCACCCTTTCAAAATGCACGGGGCAGACTTTCTTAAGGTCAAAGCTGTAGGAAATTCGGGTAGATTTCTTTGGGCTTTGGAAACAGACTCCTCCCCACCCTTTCCTCGACCTGTGGGTTTGACCCTGGTTCCCACAGGGGAAGGACACGCTGCGCCTTTTTCTGGACAGGTCACCCTGTGCTCTTCCAACCCCAAAGCCCCGAGTGGTGTCCGCAGGGAGTGATATTTTCCTCAGCCTGAAGCTTATGGAGCCCCAAGCCCCAAGCCCCAGGTCCTGGCTGCCTCCCACTCTGTTGGAGCAGGCTGGGTTTCTGCTGGTATTTTCCTGGTGGCACTGAGCTCATCGGTGGTTGTATGGAAGACTTGAGGCGAGTGAAGGGAGCTGAGATAGGCAGCAGGCAAGGCCGGGCCTCCTGGACAGCCTGTGACCATCCTGCCACCTTCTCCTCTTTGTCAGCGCTGTGATACTCCAGGATTGAAGTTGGAATCTGGGTCCTTAGGTCTCCATAGCCTGCCTGTCGGAAACTGAGCCTTCGGGGGCGTTGTGGGGGACACCTCTGTGCAGGGGCCACCTGGTAGGGAAGGCAGTTAAGGCTCAGCACCTCCACCCAACATCTCAGGCCCAGTGCTGCCCATCTGCTCCTCTTTCCGCCCGAACAAGCGGCACCGATTGAGAAAGTTTCTTGAAAACGTAGCTTCCTGCTCAGCCCTGCCCGCTGAGGCTTCAGGCCACAGTCCTTTGAAATAGCCTCAGCACTGGAGGGTGAGGGTTAAAGTTCCAAAGAGTTAAGACACATGTTTTGAGGATTTGTAAGTGAGCAGGCTCTGAAGCCAGCCTGCCTCGGTTTAGGTAGCGGCCACTTGCTGGCTGTGTGACTCTGGGCAGACTGCTTGGCCTCTCTGTTTATTGTTCCTCATGGCACAATGGTGACAGTAAAAGTGCCTTTCTCGTAGGGTTGTTTGGAGGAGTCAGTGAGGTAATGCATGATAAGTACTAAATACACATTAACTATGCTTTTGCTATTGTTACTTTAGTAACTATTACTCATGTAGTGAGTGGGACCAGGACTTGGTGACAGCATGCAGAGAGGATGACACCCCTCGGAAGCCAGATAAGACTAGGTTGTTGAAGTGCTAACTTCCTGGCTGTGTGATCTTAGACAAGTGCCATAAATGAACTTCCCTTAGCCTCACTTTTTAATCTGTCTGCAATAATGGAAAGATAAAACACAGCTCCAGGGCCGTTGTGACAATTAAAAAATGAAAATGGTGCCGATGCTCTGGCAAGTGGCAGGAGCTCAGATGAGGGCAGCTCCAGAGGTCCAGGGCCCACCACTGCCTCTCACATAGCAGGTGCTTGAGGAAGTTAAAGGTGGCACGGATTACTGAGGGCCACGTTGCATCCCGCCTGAGGTGTGATGCCTGCTCTCATTCAGCCGTCCCCCAAGTCCTATTCCAGCAGGTTCTATGATTGCATTTAGAGGTAGGGATACGGAGGCACAGAGAGGTGAAGCCACTTGCCCAAAGTCACACAGCCAGCAAGGGCAGAGCCTGTGTCACACCCAGGCTCACCTGACACAAACGCTCTCACCAGTGCACCTCACTGCCCTACTCTGCCCCTTCTCCTTCCTCGAGTCATCCCTTGAGGGGTAAAGGGTGTCCACCTGCGCCTTCCTTCAGAGGGACACGGACTAGTTGGGGGGCAGTGGTCACTGGGGAAGCACAGGCTGAGTGGGGGGGCAGGGGCAGGTGGGGAATGGAGGAGGTCTGTGAGGACTGGCATGAGCTGGGGAAGTGAGCTTCATTGTGTGCACTCATCCACGCGTGCATTCATTCATTTACTCACGCTTGCATTATTCTGGGTGACAGTGGAGACATGTAACACAGCGTGGAAAGGACACTGATCAATAGTGTCAGTTGTCAACAGCTCACCACACAGCCAGATCCGTGACTGCCAGCTCTGCATAGGAACATTGTGTGTTTGTTTTTGTTTTTTTAATCTTTACCCGAGGATATGTTTCTATTGATTTGAGAAAAAGAGAGACAGACACACACACAGAGAGAGAGATGGATTGGTTGCCTCCCATAAGTGCTCCGACCCAGGATTGAATCTGCAATTTAGATGTGTCCTGACGGGTAATGCTCCAACCAATTGAGCTCCTGTCCAGTGTTGGGGAGCAGTGTTTTGAGGTCCTACTGTGTGGCAGGCATGGCTGGAGCCTAGAGGAGGGTGGGAGGCGAAGGTGGGCAGGATGAGGGTGGGCAGGATGGGGATGCTCAGCCTCCAGTGGAGGGAGGGCAGATCTGGGTTCTCGTGGCTGTGTCCTGCTGTGGGCCAGACATCAGGTCTGCGTGTCTCCAGCCAGAATGTCAAAAGCCTTAACCACCCAGAAGTCCCGCCTGGCCAGCCCCCTTTGCCCAACTCAATCTTTGCCCTCCCTGCTCCCCTCCCCTCGGAGCTGTAGGGAATGCTATGGACTCAGACCAACGGCAAGCAGGGTTCACATCCCTCTCGAGCCGTGCACAGAATACACAGTGAGCTTCTGAGAAGCCCGTGACATTCAGGGTGGGACTGGCACCCGCCCAGGCTCCGCCCCGCCTCTCTGGACACTGGGAAGGGCCTCAGCTGGGCACCTCCAGAGGGGTCTTGTGCGTGTGCCAGCTGCCCTCATCCCCGCTGCCCACCTCTCCCCTGCTTGGAGACGAATGAGTCACTGACTTGGTGCAGGTGGCCTATTTGGGGGCTGACCCATGAGTCCGGGAGACAGGAGGGAGGAAGTGCACTTTGGGGGGGTTCCGGTGGGGTGAGACCTGCCGGGATCTGCTGAGTGAAGGGAGCAGCAGGCGGTCACCCTCCTGAAGGCGGGAGGTGGGTGTGTTTATCCTCAGGCCTGTCTCCATTGGCTGAGGGTGGTCCTGGGACCACCGTTCCGGCTTTGCTTGGACATGGAAGAGACCCCAGGCAGAAGCAGCTCAGGGCTTGGTGCCACTGAAGGTGGGATGCTGTTGGTGAGGGATGAATCTGAGGGTCTCCAGATCAATGGGAGGGGGGTCAGGGTGTGAGGCAGGCCCTCAGGGACTCTGCCCGAAGGCAGGACTTGCTCCGGGTGTGAGGAGTCCTGGCAGTCTTGGCCAGAAAGGGCAGCAGGACAGAAGGAGGAGCGGGAAGCACAGCCTTGGACATTCCATCCTGGGGCCTCGCAGTCGGTTTAAGCAGCCCCTTCCTGGACAGGCCCGGGGGCTTAATCCAGACAGCCTTTCAGTGGGCACCTACTGCGCGCCAGGGGCTGGGGCCACATGGGGCGGGGACTCCCTGCCTGCCCGTGAGCTGGTGCATCTGCCCAGGGACCGGGCAGGGGCCGCACAGCAGCTGGTTTGCAGTGGGCTCGGAGGGCCACCTGGTGTCTGCTCCTCCTCAGAGAGAAACGACCCTTTGCTTTGTTCCCCGTTCTTTCCCGGGGAGTCACGTGTGTTCCCGGTGCCAGCTGGGAAGCAGGGCCGGCTGCGGAGCCTGTCTGCAGACTCTGGCCCAGGCCCCTGCCCCAGCCCCCTGGGTTTAGGTTGGGTCAAGATTAAGGTGACCAGACATCCTGCTCTTGGTGGGACAGTCCTGATTTTTAGCAATTTGTCCCGCGTCCCGCGGCGTTAAAAAAAAAAAAAAAAAAAAAAGTCCCAATTTTTGGAAAGAATCTTAAAATGCCTCGGGACGCGGGACAAATTGTTAAAAATCGGGACTGTCCCGCCCAAAGCGGGACGTCTGGTCACCTTAGTCATGATGCCAGAGGGGAGCAGGGCTGGGCAAGTTTTTGAAACTTAAAAAAAAAAAAAAAGTAAGTAACACACACATAACATAGAATTTGCCATCTTAGCCATTGTTCAGTGTCCAGTTCAGCACCTTTAAGTACATTCATCCTGTTGGGCGGCCATCACCACCATCCCTCTATAGGATGTATTCCCCGCCCCCCCGCAAGCCCCCCCATTTCACAGGGGCGGAGACTGAGGCCCCCGGCAGGTTACCGTGGAGCAGGAGCTCAGAGGGCAGCTGTGGATCGGGCTCCTCTGGGTCCCTGGCCGACCTGCCACTCCCACTGCGGAGTGAGGAACTCCGTGGAGACATGCACGCGACCAGTGACCAGGGCCGGGACCGGCCGCCAGCTCACCCGGAGCCTCGGTGGGAGGCGCCGCCGCAGTGTGGGACCTTACACCCATCCCCGACTCTGAAGGTGCCGTCTCTCCTCCCCCCGCAGACCTGGGACGAAGACCTGGCGAGGTCGGCGGCGGCGTGGGCCCACGAGTGCATCTGGGAGCACGGGCCCACCAGCCTGCTGGTGTCCATCGGGCAGAACCTGGCCGTGCACTGGGGCAGGTAAGAGCCGCCGTGGTGCCCCCCCCCACCCCCTTTACGTGTGAACTGCCATTATCACACGTAGTCCTCATGGTCACGAACTCAGAGGGCGGGAGACCACCCGTGCCGTTGGCGGCTGGGGAGACAGAGGCTCTGTGCCCGGGGACACGTCAGGAATTGGCACAATGGATGTGAGCCCGATGGCTGGCTCCAGACGCCGACCAATAGACTCCAGAGCGTGGGCTTTCCATTCCCTCTCCTCGGAAGGGCTTCTGGGGCGGTTGCAGCTGGCCAGGAAGGAGCTGGCTGGGCACCCTGGGAAGATGGGAGTGTTCGCCCCTTTAGTGGCGGGTCCGTACCGTCTCCTCTGCCCCAGCACATCTGGGTCCTGATCACTCTTTATGGCCCAGCCAGGTTCCACCTCGTGGGCAGGGGTCCCTCACTGCCCACCTTGTCCAGCCATGGAGGGGCTCCTTCACACCGCTGAACCCCCAAGGCCTCCTGGCCTGGCAGTGCCTTGCCCTTGGGATGTACTTGACAGTGGACAGTTGGTTGTCATTCCCTGGCCTTCCCCAAAGTCAACTGGGCCGCGGACGCAGGCACGCAGCCCGGCTGACAATCCCCTCCAGGCTGGGGCTGGCTCCATCAGAGAACGTGGAGAGAACACCTCTTGACCAATGAAGCCTCACGGGGCCACAGCCAGCACAGCACGCTGTGCCAATGGTTCTGCATCGGACCCAGGGAGGCCAGGGCCTCAGGTCCGCCTTCCTTTTGTCCAGTCATTGAAAAGCTGAACTTGAAATATCCCCTCGAAAACACAGGTCAGGCTTTGCTTGACTTCACCCCGGACATTTTTCAGCTGCTGCCGCTCTGGAGTTCCACCGGGCCATGAGCTGCTCGCGTTCCCTCTGGGCTGCTCCCTCTCAGGACAAACCTGGGCAGGTGTCCGCTGGGTCGGGAGAGACACGACTTCATGGAAGCAGATCCACGGGGCACCCTCTCCTCCGGGGGTTCTGCTTTCTGTGAAGTCAGCCCGCGGTGGCCTGGGACGGCACATCTGCGGGGGAAGCATCCATCCTCCCGCTGCTGGCTGCGGCTCCTTCAGTTTCCGGGCGCCCGTGTAGCCTTTGGCTGCCGGCCGGCATATTTCGACGCAGTTGTAACTGTGGCCAGGACAGCTCTTAATTCATTTTCCCCCTTCTCATACAATACCAAACCGTTTCCCTACTGCATAGCTGTCATGGTTAGCGTCTCCCAAGGCTGACTCTGGGCTATCAAGTGGACAAGCCGCATTTAGCCATCCTGTTCTTTTTTTTTTTTTTTTTTTTTTTTTTTTTTTAATATTTTTTTAATAGATTTTTTTTTACAGAGAGGAAGGGGGAGAAGATAGAGAGTTAGAAACATCGATGAGAGAGAAACATCGACCAGCTGCCTCCTGCACACCCCCTACTGGGGATGCGCCCACAACCAAGGTACATGCCCTTGACTGGAATCGAACCTGGGACCTTTCATTTGGCAGGCCGACGCTCTATCCACTGAGCCAAACTGGTTTCGGCTAGCCATCCCGTTGTTGTCGCTTGCTTGTGAGGTGGTTGGCTCCTTTGAATTACTTTGTTAGGACAGCTCTGAGGAGTGGGGTGGGTGGGCCGAGGGCACCAAGGTCTCCCCTTCTGGTGAATGCCACTAGCTTGCATTCCCAAATAGTTCCTTATTGGCAAGCTCCCGCGGCCCCACCTGGCTGGGCTCGGGGGATAGACGGGTGGTGGGTGTCCCTTCGCTCTGCCGCTCGCTCGGTGGCCATGTTCCTTCCCTGGCCAGCTGCCCCGGGAGCACAGGCCGCTCCCCGGCCACGTCACTGACCACTGCCACGCGCTCTGGGCTCGGACGGTAATTGTTACAAGACCTCTAACTGCCCATCTCACCGCAGCGCACTCAGGAATGGCCAGGCCCCGCGCCTCCTCTCTCTTTTATTGGAACCGCTTTGTTTACCCTCGCTGGCGACGGCGACCTGGGATTTGCATCCAGTTTATTTTCTTTCCTGAGAAAATAACCGGGGCCGGCCTGGCGGCTGGGGCCCAGCGAGGGGCCGTGGCCACCAATGATGATGACCCCGGGCCCTTCCTTATTGCGGCCGAGGAGGCTCAGGAAGAAATCCCAAACAGGAAGATTCCAGGAGGGTTTGTGCACTGACTGCAGAGCTCTGTATGCCGTAGGCTCTGGCCCGGAGGAGGTTCCCGCCTTGCATTGCGCCCCCGGGTTCCCCCAGGCAGCCGAGCAATGATGATCATCTGTTGGCGGGTGGTGGGGGCCATCTGCCTGGTCCCCATAGCTAGCTCCTTCCCAGCTTCCAGACCCTCCCCGGCCATGGGGGGTATCCCATCTGTGCATCACCAGTTTAACTATTTAGTCAATATTTTGTTCTGCATTGACTTTAAATGTCTTAAGTCAAGTTTTGTCTTAAGCAACATATAGGGTTCATGGACTGCGTATATTTCCTGAAATGTACATGAAAATACATATATAATTATGAACATTAAACAAAAGACTCATCAGGGGCCAGGTAAATGTTTCCCGGACTCTCGGGTGGCATGTGGGCCACCGGAGGGATGCCCTGGGCATGCCCAGACAAACCCCTTGCTGGTTTGGGTAACAGCATTTCTAACAGGTGCAGGCAGGACTGCGGACTATTGTCCCTGAAGGGGCCTCTCCTCCAGTTGACCCCCGGGTGGTGTTGCCAGCTGCCGCCTCCGTTGTCGGGTGTGTGGTGGCAGGGACGTCACCAGCTGATCTGTCCCTGCAGGTACCGCTCTCCCGGGTTCCACGTGCAGTCCTGGTACGACGAGGTGAAGGACTACACCTACCCCTACCCCCACGAGTGCAACCCCTGGTGTCCAGAGAGGTGCTCGGGGGCCATGTGCACCCACTACACACAGGTAACCCTGGAGCGGTGGCCTGGACTCAGCCCACCGTCCCCAGTCGCTCACGGGGCCCTGCAGGGTCATTGCTCAGTCGGAAATCCTCCACTGTCCTTGCCTTAACTTTCCCCTTCAATCTGATGCCATTTGGAGTGTAACTGGTGGACTGCATGGCTCACAAGTAGAATGCTAAGAACAAGCACTGGAAGCTTCTATGGCACTTTTACACGCTGGGGCATTTCCTGGTGTGTGGTTTGGTTTTCGGTATTTGATTTTGTTTATTTTAGATCTTCAGTGGGTTGGGGGAAATCTGGCCCTTCACCCCTTCACCCCTTCACCACAGACCCTCTCACCAGCACCCTGTGATCCAGGCCAGACTGGTGTGCCTTGCCCCTGAGTTCTGACGCGGGGCTGTGGTCTTTTCAGATAGTGTGGGCCACCACCAACAGGGTCGGCTGCGCTGTGCACACCTGCCCGAGGATGAACGTCTGGGGAGACATGTGGGAGAATGCCGTCTACCTCGTCTGCAACTACTCTCCAAAGTAAGAGCAAGTCGGCATGGTCCTGGGGGTTGGGATGCTTTCGCCAGCTGCAGAGGACCCAGCGAAAACTGTCTTCAACAGGGCCATCTCCTCATTATTTCACACTAGAGGCTCGGTGCACAAATTCGTGCATGGGGGGGTGTGTCTAGCTGGCCTGCCCCAATTGGGGTCGAGGAGCTCGTGCCTTAGGCTCTACAGCCTGGGTCTTAGGCTCTACAGCAGCGATTCTCAACCTGTGGGTCACAACCCACAGGTCAGAACTGCTAGCAGGGTCGCCTAAGACCATCAGAAAACACAGATATTTACATAAGATTCATAACAGTAGCAAAATTACAGCTATGAAATAGCAACAAAAATTAATTTTATTGTTGGGGGTCTCCACAACATGAGGAACTGTATTAAAGGGTTGCGGCATTAGCAAGGTTGATAACCACTCGTCTAGAGGATGGTGAATCTGGGTTAGCTTAACAGATTAGCAGTGTCAACCAGAGCTCAGACTCCTTTTGTCTCCTTGCTGTACTATCCTCTCCTCATGGACCCCTGGCTGCAAAGCACTGGGCATCACATCTTCCCAAGCAAGAAGGAAGGAGAATGGAGAAAAGACCTCTATCCTTAGGCCTTCCTCACCCCTGGCCCACTTTCTCCCTATGTCATCGGCTAGCATTAGACCAATTGCAGACAAGGGGGGATCAGGTTGCTCCAATTGGCTTTGACCAATGGATTGCCCCATTGACTTTGTAAGCTCTGGGACTACCTGCACAAATCAGAAGCAGGAATAGCTGTCGCCTGCAACCAGCGGGGTCTGCCACAGCAATATCAGTATTATTTTTTCTCTCTGAAAACATGCAGCAGATAGCACTCTGTGACACAGTATTCACGTTGGCTGGAGTTTTGCATCTTTGTATTTCCCCCCTCTCAGGAGGGACCACATCCCATGATGTCATAGCCCCACTTCTTCCTCACACAGCCAATGTCGTTAATCCCTTGACTCATTTCGCCTCCGTTGCTCATCAGGCAAACATGTGCTCATTCTCGGGGAATTGCTCGCCCAGCTCACGGCCTGCGGTTTGCACGCTGGCGGCCATCCTAGCACCATGCCCTGCACATTGCGGGCCTCGAGGTGTATTTGCTCAGTGACTGAATGAAATGGGAATGACTTCATTTATTTGGTTTGGGTCCGGAGCGGCCATGGGGGCGATGAAGGGCGAATTGCTGAGGTTGGGAGGAAAAGAGAACTCTCCATCAGCCATCTGACTCGCCTGTGGTGGCAGTGTCTCGGCAGCCCACAGGGAGAAGGGGGATTATGTCATTGATGGAGAGGGATGCAGCTCATGAAAGAGCAATAAACTGGTCCACGGCTATGGAATTCCTGGCAGAGTGGAAGGTGGGGAGGGAGGGATAATTTGATTTGACTCTTTATATAAGGAATACACTAGAAGACCCGATCAAAATTCCAACCCTTCTCTTCTTTAGCTCCCACTCCTTTTCTTGAAAAAAGAATAATCCAGGAGGGTAAAATACAGTAATATTTAAAAAAAAACACACATATTTTATTAATTTCCAGAGAGGAAAAGAAAAGAAGAGAGAGAGAGAAACATCAATGAGAGAGAATCATTGATCAGCTGCCTCTTCCACACCCCACACTGGGGATCGAGCCCACAACCCGGGCATGTGCCCTGAGGAGGAATCAAACCATGACCTCCTGGCTCAGAGGTTAATGCTCAACCACTGAGCCGTGCTGGCTGGGCTTAAAGACCTGAATCTTAAGTAGGCAGCTTGATAAATTTTCACACATACATGCATGTATTTGCTCGGGCACTCAGAAACTGGGCGCTTAAATAATAAACATTTATTTCTCACCGTTCTAGAGGCTGGAAGTCCCAGCTCAAAGTTCAGCAGGGCCAGATTCTAGTGAGGACTCTTCCTGGCTTGAAAATGGCTTTTCCTTGTGTCCTCATGTGATATTTCCTGATGTACATACTGAGAAACAGAGGGAGGGAAGGAGGGGGAGTGAGAGAGAGAGAGAAAGATAGAGAGAGAGAGAGAGAGAGAGAGAGAGAAGGAGAGAAAAAGACTTGTCAGTGTCTCAGATACCAGTGCCATCCAGGACCCCACCCTTATGACCACATTTAATCTTCATTACATCCTTAGAAGTCCCATCTACACTTAGAGCCACAAGGCTTATGAATTTGTGACCTCTCTTTCCATCTGCCAGTTTGTCTCATACTCATGGACCTGACAGACAGGCCCTCATGCACCCACCACCCACCTCCCAGCACCACATCTGTGAGATTTGTCTGTGGTATCCTGTGTCCTCTGATTGCTGTGTGGTTTTCCACGGCTTCTCCTTCAGCAGGCAGAGTCCCTGGCCTTGCAGCGGGCAGAGGCTGAGAGGGTGGGCCAGGAGTAGTGTGTGGGCTCAGATCCTTCGGGCAGGGGTGGGGCGTGAAGGGTCTTGTACCTTCACGACCTTGTGCATCGTACACTTACTTTGTGGGGCTGTGGGGAGAGTAAAGCAGTTGGTTGTCCAGGGACAGGGCGTTGGTGCAGAGCCTAGCGCCCAGTCAGCCTTCGTACACGCTCAGTCAGCCTCTGCACATGCTCATCCGAGCATTGTTCCTCCTGGACATCGGAGGTGTGGCTTGTCTTGAAGGAAATTCAGAACCCTCGATCGGCTGACATCTCGGCTGGGGAAGGGATGAGCCACCTGGCTCTGAAGAAACTTACTGAGTCTAGCCCAGCAGCAGGCCAGGCTCTGGGCCCTCTCGGTCTGCCTGGCAGCAGGCTGTTTGGGAGAATCCTTCCAAAAGCCCTGGGAGTCCCCAGCCAGCCTCGCTGTCCCCAGCAGAGGAGGCCAGCTGAGCGGGGTCTGAGCGTGGTGAGGACACCACCATTCGCCCCCCGCGGAGTGTGGGGGTTGAAGCGATGAGCATGTCAGAATAGCCCTGCCCTCCGTCCCCGGCCTGATGCCCACATGGCCCTGGGCGATGCCATCCGCTATTCTGAGCTGCCAGAGGTTAAACAGAGAGCGTGTTTTTGCAGTTTGCTTCCCGGTCAACACCCGCAGGGCCCTCCCTGGCCTCCCTGGAAAGCGGTCAGAAACATCACCTGGACACGCTGTTGGGTCGGGAAGCGCTCAGAGCGTGTGGCCTTCACCCTGAGCCGGGCCGGGTCTGAGGTGTCCATACAGTCACTCACCTGTTGCTCCCCCATCCCCCATTACAGAGCAGACGGGCTCAGGGCTGGGGAAAGTGGGGGTCACCCAGCTAGCAGGGTTGGGGTGCAACCGAGGGCATCTGTTCTTCACCACTCAGCTGGAGGACGTGGGGGCCCAGCCTGGCCAGCAGCAGGCCGAGTCCCTTTCCTGGGAGAAGGAACAGATGACTGGGAGGCCACTTAGGAAGTTTCTAGAATAAATCACAGAGACTGGTTCCCGGTCAGTCACAGCTCTGTTGCTAAAGACTTCGATGTTATGAGAAGGATTTGGAGATTCCACTCACCACCTGCTCCCTGGGCACCGAGAACTCTCACCGAGTGGCCTCCAGTCTGGGATGGTCCTCCTGCCCCAGGAACGTCCGAGGGAGATGGACGGGGCCTGGGCCGCTCAGAGGGACCTTAGTCTCAGCCCTGAGAGCAGACAGCCTGGGTCCCATCTCGCTGTGTGACCTCAGCCAAGTCGCTGAGCCCCTCTGAGCCTCAGTTCCATCCTATGCCAAAGGGTTGAATTCCAGCATGTCCTCCTGGGGCGTTGGAAGTTTGGGGTGACCTGGGTTGGGTGTGTGGTTCAAACACCAGGTACTCCATGAACACACTGACATTTACTCATTTGAAAACGTTTGCAAAGAGGGATCCTGGCAGCTTCCCAGGATGAAGGCGCTGGGGCTGGGTCGGGGCGGACAGTGCTCAGAGTTGAGTGAGGGGAGCACCAGCCATACGTGTGGGGCCAGTGGGTGTTGGCACACACACTCAGGTCAGAGAGGGGACAATGTCTCTCAGCTTGGGTCCCTCTACAATTCTTTAGACTCTGTGCTCAGAGGGGTCCAGGCATCCACCGTCCTCCTCCCCCACTGTGTTCGGCCCCGAGGGGGGCCAGGAAAGGGGTGACCTAGCCCCCGAGGGGCAGCCCCTCCTGACTGTTTCTGTCTGTCCTCAGGGGGAACTGGATTGGAGAGGCCCCGTACAAAACCGGCCGGCCCTGCTCCGAGTGCCCGCCCAGCTACGGAGGCGGCTGCAAGAACAACTTGTGTTACCGAGGTAGGAAATGACTTCAAAACCGTGAGTCACAGAGCGGCCCGTGCAGAGCACAGACCCCGGGACGCGAACAATGGAGCCCACGGTGCCCCCTCCCCAGCCCTGCTGCAGCCGCCCTCAGCACCCCTCCTCCCCCTCCCTTCCCTCCTCGTGCACAGGAGGACTCGGGGTTCAGTCCCCCCGGTTCCCTGGGGACCCACGGCTTCCCTGGATGTCCCCCTTCCCCTCGTCCCCATGAGCATCCCAGGGCCAGACTCCGAGCTGGTCTTGGACTGCAGCACCCCCTCACACAGGTCCCTGCCTTTGTGTGTTGGTGCTTATAGCTCCACATGAAACAGACAACAGACCAGGAATTAAAAGCAAACAGCCAGACCATGATGTTCCCGTGAGCTCCAAGCTAGCAGGGCTGTCCCTCCGGAGTGTCCTTCCTGTCCTTGTCCCACACCTATCGTGCCCCCCCCCCCTTTCCCACCTTGTGCATCCTCCATGGGACTTGTCATAAACATCTGCGTTTCCCTCCCAGGCAAACCCGGGCTCTCGGAGGCTGTGCAGCTTCCAGCCCCTCCCCCACTGGTTGGTTGTCGCCACTCAGAATGTTCCCGCTCACTCTGCTCCTGTAAACAATGCACACTTTTCGTGCCTAAAGCGTTGCTCACAGTTTGGAATATTTCCTCAGGCCCCGTCCCAGGAGAGGCATAGCTAGGCCAAAGGGCATTCCCGTGTTTTTACGGTTGAGTTTTTTTGTTTTGTTTTTTCATGTGGTTCCATGCACAGGGCTTGGCAGGGGGATGGGCACACAGGCGAGAGCCACCCTCTGTGCCAGGCCCTCCCCGACGGAGGGGTCGTGGGGTCAGTTCCGTGGGCTCTGGGGTGAACACACTGGTGGTTAGCGGTGGGGGGGGACACAGACCCTCTCAGGGGCCCAGGCGCTCTGTTGTCCTGACAGCTGCTCCCCACTGATGTGTCCATTGGGGTGGTGGTTAGGGGGCAGGAGAAGCAACGGACCAGGCTTGAGGCTGGCGCTCCAACCAGGCGCTCACTCTACCCATCAGCCAGCGGTTGTGATAACACCATCTCCCTCAATACATCCCAGGCACAAGTGAGGATTCGTGCATTTGGCATAAACGTACTGAGCACCTGCTGTGTGCCAGGATGCTGCTGGGTGGTATCCGTGGGGATCGCTATGGCGGCCAGACAGTCATGGCCCATCCCTCATGAAACTGAGGCCCAGTGGGGGCGTGGCCACGGGGAGTGATTCTCATCTCCCAGGGGAAGTAACTGTTTGCCGGGAGCTTCGAGCAGGAACATGGCTCTTGTCTAAGGGGTCAGGGAGGGCTTCCCCCATGGGTTTTAGGGGCTGGCGCACCTGCTCCGAGAATGTCAACCCCGCCTCATTCCAGGGCTGGGGCCCTGGGCAGGTGGTCTCTCTGAGCCTCAGTCTTTCTGCCTGAAAAGGGGGCTATGGTGCCAACCCCTGGGGACCTGGAGGCCTAGGAGGAGAAGGCCAAGGTCAACAGTCAGGCATGTCAGGTTCCATCTCCATGGTGCTATTCAGGTGGGCCCTGAAACTGTGCTTATCGTTTGACAGAAAACAAACAAACAAGGAATTAAAAACAAACAGCTAGACTGTGATGCTGGTTTACACACCAAACGAAGCCTCGAGGGTTGAGTCTCCATCGGATTTGGGGTTGTAAGGAAGGATGCCCTTTGGGGTTCCCCCTGAGTCCCGCACTGTGAGGGGCGCGGTGTGTGCGTGGCCCACAGCTGTCGGGGTTCCGGGGAGCATGGTCGTGTTTACCGTCGCAGGCTGTGTGGACGCAGGCTGTGTGGACGCAGGCTGTGTGGACTCAGGCTGTGTGGACTTAGGCTGGTGGACTCAGGCTGTGTGGTCTCAGGTGCCACGTACCTTCTTGGAGCCTCCGTTTTCCCATCTGTAACAGTGACAGTACAGTTCTGTGAAATTTCAGCCAAAGCAGAGAGTTGCTATTTGCATTTGCTGAGTGGCCTTCCCAAAGATGAAGGCTTTGGACCTTTACAGCATGCACCCCGCCCTCCTTGGATGCCTGTGGACTAGAGTTGCCTCCTGTTCTCCCGCAATTAAAGCAATGAGGAGGATGTGAGTTGCTAGTGCAACAACCTGCACATAGTCAGTGCTTTATAAACACAGGTGGTTAGCTCCTTGAAGAAGTGGGAGGTCTCACTGTACTGATACCTGTCCGGTGACCTTCATCCCCTGGTGAGGAATATTGGTCCTTTCCCAGCCTGGGGATCTCATCCCCCCCTCTGGGATCTGACAGATGCCTCCTCCTCCTTAGAAAAACAGCTCTGGTGTCACACCTCCTCCAGGGAGCCTTCCCTGACTACACAGTCTGGCAGTGCACCTGCCTTCCTGCTCTGACTGCAGCAAGACTCTCCCTGAACCTTGACCACCTGTAGTTATGACTGCTAGTTCACTCCGGTGCCTCCAGGGGCCTGGAGCGGGAGTGTTCTTCACGTCATCTCAATTCAATTCCCGCATCCCCAAGAGAGCCAACTTCTAAGAACAAATACGGACAAAGCTACCTTAGATGCTGGTTTACCCACCCAATGAAGCCTCTTTATTTTTGGTGGAGAAGAGCCAGCTCACTCGGCAGGTGTGCCAGTTTTCCTAGCTAACCACGCAGCACGTCTCCTGTGAAGTGACTGACTGTGCGTGCCCAGCAGGGCCTGGCCCGAAATGGAGATGGAGCAGGGGTAAGGACAGACCTTAGAGAGGTTTATTCCTGTTGGCCTTGCCAGGTGTGTGTGGTGATAAAGGCTGTGGGCTTTGGGGAAAGGCAGTGTGACTCTCAGTTCTGTGAGCCTGGGCAGGTCCCTCAGCCTCTCTGAGCCCCGGTTTCTCTGTCTGTGAATGAGGCTCATCCGTCCGACAAGGCAGGGAGAGGATGATGCAAGGACATCCTGGAAAGGTCCACTTTCAGGAAACACTAGCTGTGAGCCATGTTATCACTTATAGACCGCGGTGGGAATCTGCAGAACGATGTAAGCAATGCTACGTGCCCCGAGACCCCAGGCCCGGGGATGGACAGTGCGCACAGTAACCTGGCCATGAACCCAGGCATGGAATTTCCCCAGGCCCGCGCGGGTCCACACGGGGGATCTTAATTGGGATGTGCTCAAATAGAGCCGGTCTTCTGGGCAGGCGTTCCACTTTTCATGTGTGTGTCTGAGGGCGAGGACTGTCTGCCCATTTTCTTAAATAGTGAGCCCTCAAACGCTTTAGACTGCCTTACCAAACTATATTCAGCCGAATAAAGCCACGATTATGTGGTATAAAAACCCTAAAGGCCAGTGGAAGAAAACCCGGTTATTCCAGAGACAGCTCTGGCTTTCAGTGAAGGGCAAACCTGAGTAGCTACATTGACGGGAAGGCAGACCAGAGACGGTTGATCGTGCCAAATGGCGTTGCAAACCTGGTGTCTTCATAAAGATTTCAACGAATAGCTCTTGGCTACAAATGATACTTTCACAATTCCCTTCCTAAATGTTCTTAAATTTCACTGGGAATATATTTTATTCCAAAGGAATTTAAAGACAGAGTTTTGTTTTGTTTTGTTTTCTGGGGAGGAGGGGGGTGTTAATTATCTTTCATTCAGCAAATTTTGTTGAGCAACTATTATGTGCTGGAGCTGGGTATCCAGAGAGCCGTGACACAGGCTAGCTGCAGGCCTCAGGGAGCTCCCGGCGGGTAGGAAAGCAGGTGGTAGTGAAATCACAGCTGTGAGCTGGCTCCCTTGAGCTGCCCTGGATGTTCCCCTGAGGGAACAGATTTGGGGGTCAAGATCACAGTTCACCTCCCAGCTTAAATCCTGTCCATTCTCTCAGGACTAGGTCTGCCTGGGGGGGAGGTTAAACAAAAGGAAATTGGCAATGAAACAGAAGCAAGGAATTCCAGCCCAGAAAAGCATGGGGGAACCACTCCTCTGCCCTCCATTTGGTGTTTGTCCTGTACAGACACAAAACTCGGTCTGTCCCTTGGAGAGGAGAGGCCATTGCCCTGAAGGAGAATGGGTAATGAGGCGGAGGGATTGATGGGACTTGGACAGTATTAATCCAGTGACACAAAGAGGTCTGCGAGGGCGCTTCATTCCTCCTCCTCAAAGCCCTTCCTACCCACACACATTTCTGTCGATTCTTTCATTGAGGGAGAGCAGGAGGCAAGCTGGTCCACAGATATCCAGGGGGGACAGGGTGCGTGCTGTGATGGTGCCACGGTCCCCCAGCAGAGATGTGCAGCAGTTGATGTTTGAGACGGCCATTCAGGCAAATGCAAATAGCAAGTCTCTGCTTGCTTTGGCTGAAATGGACAATTTGATATTTACAGGTTCTGGCCAGCAGCGAGTAGTTGTCTTAAATATAAATATATATATATATTTAAAAAATCAATTATATCTATATCTATATCTATATCTATATATATATATATATATAAAATTGATATAAAATTGATTTTTTTACAGAGAGGAAGGGAAAGGGATAAAAAGTTAGAAACATCGATGAGAGAGAAACATCGATCAGCTGCCTCCTGCACACTCCCTACTGGGGATATGCCCAAAACCAGGGTACATGCCCTTGACCAGAATCGAACCTGGGACCCTTCAGTCCTCAGGCCAACCCTCTATTCACTGAGCCAAACTGGTTAGGGCTGAATAGTTGTCTTTTGTGATGAAGACTAGAAGATACATAAACTGATGTTTATAAGAAATGTGATCTGTTTGGTTAATCAAAGTGCCTTAAAATATGGTTGTCACCATCATTGTGGAGAAATAATAATGTTTGGGTAGGAAAAGATTGGGACCCAATGAACTCACTTTTTTAAAAAACTAGAGTCGGTCTCTCTGGCTCACTCTACATGATGGGTCCAATGTCAGGGGGTGCCGACATCTCCGTGCAGGAAAGGGCGAGAAGGGAGCAGAACGGGAGCAGGATGTGCTGGAGAGGAGGGGCAGTGGGCCCAAGGCCTTTGACCTGAGTCTTTGTGCACTTGAATGAGTGTATAAACGAGGAAGGCCCCTCTCCCAGGGTAAACTGAGGAGAGGCAGCTCTCGTTTGGGGTCAGAGGATATGTACTTCCTTGGGCAAATGACGGTGCAGGAGGAGGAAGGACAAGAAACCATGACGATAACCCAGGTGTGGAGCTGGGCCGCTCTCCCTGCTCAGCCCAGCGGCTCTGGGGCCAGAGCAGACACAGCGAGCAGCGCCTGTCCACCTCCCTCGCTGGTGGAATTCCACCTGGCCAGGCCTGTTCTGAAACGTAAATTCCTCTTTGCCACTGAAATGATTCTTTGTCAGTCTAAACCTCAAACAAGTTTAGGTTCCAAGTGGCTTTTTTTTTTTTTTTTTTTTTTTTTGCAAAGTGCATTGTTGTTAAATCTCGGCATTCCCCCCCCCCCCCCCCCATCTTTGCTATGAAGAAGGAACTTACGTCCCCAAACCTGAAACAGACGAGATGAACGAGGTGGAGATGGCTCCCGTGACTGAAGGGAAACACGACTGGGTTCAGCCGAGGGTGATCAGACCCAAGAAAACGTCCGCCGTGAGCTACATGAGTGAGTCAGGCTCCCTCTCTTCCCCCTCAAACCCCCTCTGAAAGGGGGCCGCTTTCTTCGGGGCGGGTGGGGAGGGGAGCTGGTGGGCTGAGAGGGCTCCCAGTCCACACACAGCAGGAGCAGGGTGGCCTGCAGCTTGAAAAGTATAACTCTCAGGTGTTCCTGAAAACGGTATTTTTAAGCCATTTATAGGAGCTATTCCTGAGTGACAGTTCCCCCAGGCAGGTGTCCTGAGGTGAGACCTCATCCTTTCACAGGGGACCCTGCTGAAGCTGGGCTCTGCCTGGAAGCGCCGGGCTCCCCAAGGGAGAGCACAGAGCGTGCAAGGCGGAGGCGAGCGCCCGTGAGCCCAGCCCTCCTCCTCCACAGACCAGCTCTGGGAATTGGGTATCATTTGACTCTCAGAGACTCAATCTGCTCACCCATAAAATGGGGCCATGATAGGAGGTGCTATTTGCAGTCCTATGGGCCCTGGGGTCAGCGGGGATCTCCCTGGACTTGAATCATCCAGTTGCCTCAGACAGCCCCTTGGGCGGGAATTAGATGTTTCCCCTGGCCTTCCGGAAGTTCCAGAGCGCTCCCACGCTCACCTCTGTTGCCCTTCCCCCTCCCCTGCGCCCTTCCCCCTCCTCTGGTTCTCAGCACCCTCCCCTCATAGGGCTCTTCTCCTTGCGTGGCTCTCTGGCTCTCTGCCAGCCAGAGCCCAGTGCTCCGGTTCCCCTGACACTGCCTTGAGCGCCTTTCCTGGAGGTGGGGTTCGGAGGGCACTTCCTTACAGACAGAGCAGCAGGCGTGGGCAGTCGGCCTGCGGCCTGGCTCTCTCTGGTTCTCCCCTAGAGTGTAAAGAGCATAAACTGGGCTTGCCCTGCGAGGGGCCCACCTGTGCCCATCTTGCTCAGAAACAATCCCCACATCTTCAACTTCTCTCTCCCCCGGCCCCGACAGTCACCCTATCCTCTTGGCTTCCAGGGCCTTTTCCCAGACCTGTTGCCCGTTCAGCTGCCCTTAGCGTCTTCGACCAGGAAATAGGCTGACGCTCTTTTCTGTCCAGCTGTTTGAAACGGTTCCATCGGTTCTTTTAATAAAATGCAAAACCATCATATGTCTTTTTTGTCCAACTGCCACTCCACTCCGAGCTTTCTACATGTCCCTATAAAACAGTGGTTCTCAACTTCCTAATGCCAGGACCCTTTAATACAGTTCCTCATGTTGTGGTGACCCGCAACCATAAAATCATTTTCGTTGCTACTTCATCACTGTAATTTTGCTACTGTTACGAATCGTAATGCGAATATCTGTGTTTTCTGATGGTCTTAGGCCACCCCTGTGAAAGGGTCATTCAGCCCCCAATGGGGTCTCGACCAGCAGGTTGAGAACTGCTGCTGTAAAACAAACTAAAAGGAAAGCTTGGCAAAGGCTGCGGGGGAAACGACACAGGTGGGAATGCCTGGTCTCCACTTCCAGGCTGTCTAAGGCCTATTCCCCAGAGCCCGAGGGTCCACGGGGCACTTAGTGTGTGCCAGGCTCCCTCCACGGTCACAGGTACATTCTCACTTGATGCCACCGACACAGTACCCGCTGCACGTTCACCCGTTATACACCCGTGGAGATTGAGCCTCCGAGAGGGGAAGTAACATGGCCGAGATCAAATGGCTGCCCCAAATTGGCAAACCTGGGATTCGAACCTCATCCCTGAAGCTGGAAGCCATTGGCAATGCTGGAGCGGCCTGGATCCCAGAAAACTCCTCAGAGTGGGGCTAGGGTCTTCTAACTCAGTCTCATCCCCTTGATTCCTGCAATGACGACTGTTTCTGCATTTCTCTCCTAGCCCAAGTGGTCAGGTGCGACACCAAGATGAAGGACAAGTGCAAAGGATCCACGTGCAACAGGTGAGGCCAGGGCAGGACCCCTCTGTCCCTGTCCCCTGCAGCCCCTCAAAGCACTTGCCTTGGGCTGCAGGCCACATCTGGGTCAGCCAGCGCGTGGCCACCCACCCAAGCTGAGTAGAAACGTACACAAAAATGGCATTCTCTACTTTTAGCAATAACAATGTGCTCCCAGGGCTGAGGGGGGAGGTCACTCAGCCTGCTTTGTGTCATCCATTCAGTTCCTTCTGAATGCCAACCTTTGTTTAGGTAAGAGTGTGGCACACAAAGGTGACCCATGTCTGTCAGCCTCGACCGGCGTTCCTCAGCCTTGGCACTGCTGACATGTAGGGCCAGATACTGCTCTGTGGTGGGGGCCTGTGCAGTGTAGGAGGCTGAACAGCTCCCCTAGCCTCCACCCTAGTTGTGATCCCAAAAAGGTCTCCAGAAATCACCAACATCCCCCGAGGACAAGATCACCCCTAATAGACAAGCTTGGACCTAGACGGTTGGCCCAAGCTCTGGGTCTCCTCCCGCCTGGACGTACGTTCCAGTTGTGTTTCCTCCCCAGTCAGACGGATGTGTTCAAAGGACAGCTGCTTGGCCTTATTGTCTCAAAAGGAATTTGCAAGCTGCAGAAATGCTAGGCTTGTACGTGGCTGATGTGTGTGCTACAGACACGACAATCTTGGCCAACGTTGTTGTGTAGTTGGGGACGCCATCACACCTCTCTGTGCGCGGGAGTCGCACGGTGGCCCAGAGTTCTGTGCACGGAGGATCACGGCTGGGGTGGCGTTAGGATGTGCAGGCCACAGGATCCCGCTGCAGAGTCTGAGTAAGCTGCTTCCTGAGGTCCCCAGTAGGGGAAGAGCTGCCAGTGCGGCCCCGGGGAGCGGAATGAGGTCATCTGGCGGATGGAGTCATCGAGTACCGTCCACTGGGATGTTGAAGGACGTCTGCCAAGAAGAAGGAGTTTGGTTTTGGCAGTGCCGCTCGGCTGCACTTTCTGGCAGCGAACGGCCAACAGGTGCAGCGGCCTCAGGCAGAGCCTCAGGTTCACGGTGGGAAAACCACGTCCTTGGTCGAGGGGTCCTTACTCAGCTTCCTAAGGATGCCGGCACTCATTCAGCTGAAGCTGAATCGCGTCATGTAACGCGCATGCCGAGAAGAGAAGGCCGCGGTCCTGTTGATACCGGAGGGACCGGGACTTGGGTGCGCTAGCGCTTGGCTCAGCCTCTGGCAGGCGTATCAGGAAATAGGCTTTGAGCAACCCAGGATGAGGCCGTTCCAGAGGCTCAGCCCTCGTCCCTTGAGCAGCGGGTAGCGGGCCAGCAAGTACTGCAGAAGCCAGCCGTCCATGTGTTGGTGAGGCGAGCGAGATGTGGCAATGGTGGTGGCGCAACCGTCCCCTGCAGTGTCGGGGGCATTTGCACATCTCGTGTGTGCTGGGCGAATCAGAGAAAGCACCCAGCGTCTGCGAGGGCCGCCCACACCGCAAAGTTGTGGCTCTAGGAGAGTGGCCAGCAAACTCATTGGTCCACAGAGCCAAATATCAACAGTATAATGATTGAGATTTCTTTTGAGAGTCACATTTTTTTTTTTTAGAGCCAAATTTTTTAAATGTAAACTTCTAATGCCACTTGTTCAAAATAGACTTGCCCAGACCATGATTTTTGTGGAAGAGCCACATTCAGGGGGCCAAAGAACTGCGTGTGGCTCTCGAGCCACAGTTTGCCGACCACGGAGCTAGGATGTTAGGAACGCTCTTGATGGTCCCATTGTGACGGACTTTCTGTCCTGCAAGCTCATGATGACAGCATCACGCCCACATGCTCAATGGGGGAATAATGGAAAAGTATAAAAAATATCCCTTGTGAGGTTGCATCGGAAGAGTCCCAGATGGGAGCCTCCCCAGGCAGGGAGCAGGCAAGGTCCGTCCACACCACGACTCTCCGAGACCTCCAGTCTAGAAGCATAGCTAACCCCACCTGTGCACACAGTGTCTCTGTGTCCCTGTGTCTGGCGGAGAAGCCCTCCCGCCATCTGGCACATCCTGTTTCTGGACCTGGTGCTTTTATAAAAATAATATTTACTGGGCTTAGTTTCTGACTTTAAAAAGTATTCTTGTTCGCGATAAGTAACTCAGGAGAACAACCACAATAACAAAGTATAAAGAAAAAAAAAAGTGTCCAGATCTCCCTGGATCAGTAGCAATTTGACGTAGTTCCAGCCATCTCCCAGGCACCGACTCGCTCATGCCGCTTAGGTGAGCTCGTGTGTTATTCTCACGTGAGTTTCCAAAGTCAGTACATTCTCCGAGGGGCTCCCACTTAAAAATGTTCGGCCACTCCTTTGACACCTACCTGGCTTATTTCCAGTTTTCTGCAATTGTGAACAGTGGGGATCACACAGGAGTCTGGCTCTCTGACTTTTCCCTTGGGATATACACTGAAAGGGAAATTCAAGAATCGCCAGATTGATTGATACGTTTTCATGAACGTGAACACCATCCCTGAGTTTTATTCTAGTAAAAAACCCTTGCCATTTAACACCTGGAAAATGGCACTTCCTTTCAGTGTGCACTTCTCTGATGACTGATTTGGAGATTTTTATTTTTATTTTTGACTTCTGTAGTGTTTGGATGCCACTTGTCTTTCTTCTATAAATTGTTTGCCTAGTCCAGTGGTCAGCAAACTCATTAGTCAACAGAGCCAAATATCAACAGTACAACGATTGAAATTTCGTTTGAGAGCCAAATTTTTTTAAACTTAAACTTCTTCTAACGCCACTTCTTCAAAATAGACTCGCCCAGGCTGTGGTATTTTGTAGAAGAGCCACCCTCAAGAGGCCAAAGAGCCACATGTGACTCACAAGCCTCAGTTTGCCGACCACGGGTCTAGTCTAAGGTGACCAGATGTCCCGCTTTTGGCGGAACAGTCCCGATTTTTAACAATTGGAAAGATTCTTTCCAAAAATCGGGACTTTTTTAAAATGCCACGGGACGCGGGACAAATTGTTAAAAATAGGGACTGTCCTGCCAAAAGCGGACGTCTGGTCACCTTAGTCTAGTCATATCTCTGCCTTAAACGCAAATGTTAATTAAGCACCTGAAAGCAGTCATTAGGAAGGTCAAACTGAATCTATAACTGTGTTCACGTGACTATATACACTTCGTCTTGGGGGACCTGGGATTTGCCAGAAGACAGTGGGTTCTCCATCACCGAGGCTTTTCGGCGTGTGCCGAGAGAGCTGCTGAAGAAAACAAGGTAATTGCGCGGCGAAGCGGAGGCGTGCTCACCTGTGCAATCACGTGCTTTCTCCCTCCAGGTACCAGTGCCCAGCAGGCTGCCTGAGCAACAAGGCCAAGGTCTTCGGAACTCTCTTTTATGAAAGTGTAAGTGGGGCCCGTGTTTCTTTAAGTGGCTTCTGTCGTGTGCTTTTAAAGGAGATGGATGGTTTTCAGGGGAAAAGGTTTCCCTTCCCTGCCTTCAGACAACCTTTGTTTGCTGAGATGATCTGTGAGTGTTTGAGCTCACAAATGGTGCAGCCGCTTTGGGGCCTGGGGCTGGCCCTCGTGAAGACCTGTCTCCGTCTCCATGTAGACTGGGCATTACTGTGCGTCACTGCGTAGGGGTGGGGGGAAAGGGCTGTCTGTCGCTGTTCTTACTGTGTTAAGCCCCTCAGATGGGTTTTTAAAGATAAGCAGCCCAGGGACAGAGACGCACGTGTTCTGGAGAGAGGCAGGCGTTGGAGGCGGGGGAGCTTTGGCCTGACATTTTGGCTTCCTGTGGGTTGCAGACAAACATCTTGGGGAGGGCTGGCCAGGACCACTTCCGGTGCACTCACGGTCTTCCCCTCCCCAGGCGTCCAGCATATGCAGGGCTGCCATCCACTACGGGATCCTGGACAACAAAGGAGGCCTGGTGGACATCACCAGGAACGGGAGGGTCCCCTTTTTCGTCAAGTCTGAGAGGAATGGCATGGAGTCTCTGAGGTGAGTGTTCTATAGCAGGGTTCCTTACAGCATTTTCTGGTTATAAAAGTATTGTTAACACATTGAAAGTACTGAACAAACGGAGATGGCCTTAATCTATGATTTAGAACGTGCCCCATAAGCAGTTCAGCATGTTTTATTCCAGTGCTGTGCACCCTCCCTCCCTCTCTCCCTCTCTCGTTTGGTTGGGTTTCGGCTTCTGCTTTGCCTTTCTTCCTTGTCCCCAGTAACTGTTTATAGGCTAATTCTGGATTGATTAGCACTTTTTCTTCCTAAGAATGAGGCTTTTCATTTTTTAAACATGCTTACTTTTTTTCTTTTTCAAGATAATGTTTTTCACATAAGGTATGTGGCAGGCTGATGGGCCAGACAGTCCTTGGCTATTCTGACTTTTCGGGGCTTGTGTTGACCTCTCTATAGAATAAGAGGCTAGACCAGCGGTCGGCAAACTCATTAGTCAACAGAGCCAAATATCAACAGTTCAACGATTGAAATTTCTTTTGAGAGCCCAATTTTTTAAACTTAGACTTCTTCTAATGCCACCTTTTCAAAATAGACTTGCCCAGGCCATGGTATTTTGTGGAAGAGCCACACTCAAGGGGCCAAAGAGCCACATGTTTGCCGACCACTGGTCTAGAGTGACCTGGGACCATAGAGCCCAATAGAGGTTGTGGGGTCAAACAGACTTGGCCCTGCTTCTTCCTTGTGCAGCCCGTGGGCGGTTTCTTCATCTCCTCTGGGTGGCCGCACCCTCATTTGTAAATGAGGACCATGGTAGGACTCGGGCTGACACCCACTAATGTGATGGCAGGGACTAGCCCGGCGTCTGTGACAAGGAAGCACTGAGCAAATGCTCCGTGATTGTTCCGAGGCAGCATGACCCGTGCAAACTGTGAGGCCACTCTGGGCATTTCAAAAACGATAGGCGTCATTCCCGCTGTCAAAGGTCCGGTTTTTCAAGGGGTGTCCAAGCACCCCCTCTCCACCTTAGCTAAGGACCTAGGGCTATGTAAACAAAAAAGAACCAGGGATTGTGAGCCACAGCCAAGGAGGTGCTCACAGAGATGCCAGTTGGGCGACCTCCTGAGGAGGCTCAGTGCAGGCTGTGGGCGTGGCCAGGTTCACGTCCTGGGTTGCCTGGGATGCTTGTCCTAGAGCCACCGCTAGTCCCCTTCAATGCCCAGCTTTGCACCTAGAACGGGCTCTTCACATTTTAGAATTCAGGGAATGTGCGAACATCAACATAAAGCAAATTACAGCTTTATTTTTACTAACTTCTCATTGCAATGTGGCATTTCCTCCCATTATGAATGTTGGCCCCAAACCAGACTAGGTGAGCAGGACGGGCAACCCTCCCACTGGTGGAAATGGACTTGCTGTAGACATCTCAAAAGAGTCTCTGCGTCCTTATGCTGAAATGACAGCAGTGTGAGGACCCACCTAGAAACTGGTCTTGATGAATTCATAACAATGTGTGCCTATTACTCTAATAGGCTAACTTGTTTGAATGGTTAGATAATGATATTAATAAGAACTGGTTTTCTTTTAGTCTTTTCAATTTATCATGCATTTTAAAACTGTCACTACCAGGGCTCCTTACCCCAAAGAAGTTGATGAGCTACGCCCAGAAAGTTCCTTTAGATCCTGCCCTAGGTGTTCTCTGGGCCTTCAGGCTGGTGGGCGATAAGCAGGGAAATGAAACGTTGAAGCTGTAAATAAATGCGGGAGGAAGTGTACCAGCCATTCTGTTTACATTTACCGGATGTTTCCTTTTATAGCAAATACAAGGCATCCAGCTCGTTCACGGTGTCAAAAGTAAAAGGTAAGCTGGTGGCCTCTTTTTACGTGACCATAATACATGGGTTCTGTTGGGTTTCCCTAGAATTGCCATTCCCCCTTAATTGTTGATTGAATGTCTATCATGCCTGCTATTAATGCTGTTCTCAGGAACTTGTTCCTGAGGAGGCTGCCTCTCTAATTTCTAAATATATCTGAACTTGGCATTGGCCCTAGACAGCTAAATCAGAAGCACAGGCGTGGCATTCTGGCTGAACGTCACAGAAATACCAACACCTGGGCCTAGAGTAGCTAATAGGTTGCAGAAGGAGTGTCAGTTTCTATTGATTGATAGTGGCTACCTGCTAGGACCTAGAGCATTGTGTTGAGATGGATCTCTGGGGCCTCCTTCTGGGCTCAGCAGAAAACAGAGCTTGATTGATTAGTAATGTCTGCCATGGACAAGAGCGGGAAACGTGGGGTATGTTCGTTTGGTTGGGTGGGATGCACCCATGGGAGAGCATGCTTTTTAGTCACGACCTCCTTCAGACCCAATCCTGCCTGTGGCTGTTTATGGAAATAAAGTTTTATTGGCACACAGCCATGCCCATTCATTTATGCATCGTCCACATGGTTTATTTGCACATAGATCATAGAGCCCACCAAGCTGGAAATATTTACTCTCTGGTCTTTTAAGCAAGAGTTTACCCAGCTCTGGACTAGATGGGGACATGCTGTCAGACACAGCAGGTGGTCAGCATTAGAACCACTTTCTTACATCTGTTGTTTACACATGTGACTTTGCAGAAGAGAGTCGCTGCCCTCCTTTGAAACAGCTCTAGGCCGGGAATTGGAAACCTGGGTTCTCAGCCATGTTTCCTGCAAGGTCTCAGCTTTTCTGAGCCGGAGTTTCCTCTCGTAATTACAATAATACCTGCCATGGGGGCCCAACATGATGAAATAGGGGAAAGGTTTCAAAATCGAAAAGCAGTCTGCAAACGAGATGTGTAGTAGGTCCACGGAGAAGCTGTTGTGGGTGGCAGCATCCCTGACCAGTAAACACATTCAGGCATGAGTTTGTCTCATCCCTTGGGTGGTCTCGGGTGGAGTGCCAGGGGCACTGGGGCTTGACACCTGTTATCCCCTAGCTCTATCGGAGGGCTCAGTGGACCCCTAGCACCCAGGTGTCTATCCCTTTCAAAGGTGGGTAATGCGAGGCCCAGGCTTCCTTGTGACCTGACCCTCTCCTGCTGGCTCCTGTTCACAGTGCAAGACGTGGACTGCTACACCACCGTCGCTCAGCTCTGCCCATATGAGAAACCAGGGACCCACTGCCCACGGTGAGTCCCGCTGGCATCTGGTTTTGCAAACACGGGGAGTGAGAGAAGGTGCAGTGCTGGGCAAGAGGTCATGTCCTGGCAGCAGAGTGCAGTGGCGACCGGATGTGGCCCTTGAATGCATGTGCCCAGAAAAAGCAGTCCATTTGTGTTCAAAGCCAAGGGCCTGCTCAGCCTTCTCTGGGACCACTGGTTCTCACCCCCGGATGCACATTGGAACAGTCTGAGGGGTACCCTACCCGGCGACCCTACCCTGACCACTGAGAGCTGGGGATGGCTGGTTGGGGACCAGCCTCGTTAGACGCTCCTGGCAGAGCCCAGTGGGCAGCTGGTCCCAGACCCAGTTAAGGGAACTTAGCTGAGAAATGGCTCTGTCCACATGCTGCTCCTCCCCTCCCTGGTTGGAGTGCATACACATGTAGAAATGACTTCATTTGCCACATGGCTCCTCCCAAGCCCCTCTGGCAGACCTGGAGATTAGTCGCTGTGGGCTCTTGGATGAGTCTAGAACCCTGTGGGCTGCGGGCTGCTTGTCCCATTTCACTCAGCTCATTGGTTCTTTTAGAAGCAGCTTATGAAAACCAGTTTTGGGGGTGTAATTTGCATACAATAGAACTCTCCTATTGTAAGTTTACAACTGGACATTTTGATAAATGCACAGTCCTGCAGCCATGGCCACTCAAGACAGGAAGTTCCCTGTGGTCAGGCCCTCTCCTCCCGCTCCCCCTCCCCATATCCCCACAAACCACCATCTACTTTCTGTCCCTGGTTTTGTCTTTTGTGGGATTTCATGTAAGTGGGGCACCACAGCATGCAGACCTTGTGTCAGACCCTCTCTCTCTGCGTGCTCCCGAAAGCCATTGGTGTTGTTGAGCATGTCCGGTTTATTCCTCCACATCGCCGATGAGGCTCCATTCTGCAGATGTGTGCAGTGTGTTGAAGGACTAGGTTTACACGCATCTTCCAAACGTTCATTGGCTGATTTTGGAGGTGGACGCATCATTACATAAAGAGGGTCCTAGCATTTGTGTCTGAAGTGCCCACGAGGTCCTGTCACACACTGGTGACGTAGCATCCGGTGAACCCTTATCCTGGCTTGGAAGCTTGTGGGTTCCCCCAGGGAAAGGCTGACCTTAAAACTGGTCGGTGGAATCTCCTGAGGTGTGAGCAGAGTCCAGCCCACGGAAGGAGCAGGCGAGGGACAGAAGGCTAGAGACTGGACAGGCGGTCCTGACTCCTCCTCTTTGCTATCGCCTCCCTCTGGAGGCTCTCTCACAGGCTCCCACCAACACCACCACCACCACCACCATCACCATCACCTTCACCACCATCACCATCACCATAACCATCACCACCACCATCACCATCACCATCATCACTACCACCACATTCACTATTACCAGCACCACCACCGCCACCACCATCACCACATTCACCATTACCACCATCACCACCACCACCACTACCATCACCATCACCATTACCACCACATTCACCATTACCAGCACCACCACCACCATCACCACATTCACCATTACCACCACCACCACCACCACAACCACCACCATCACCATCATCACCACCATCACTACCACTACCACCATCACCACCACCGTCATTACCACTACCATCACCATCACCACCATCATCACCATTACCATCACCATTACCACCATCATCACCACCATCATCACCACTACCATCACCATCACCACCATCATCACCACCATCATCACCATTACCATCACCACCACCTTACCATCACATACACCACCACCACCACCATTCTGACTCTCCCCCCACCAAATGATCAAGTGGAGATAACTATTCAATGACCACTTCTCAAAGCCTCTTAGATTTCCCCAAATATTAAAGACAAGCTGAAGGAAATGATCTCAACCAAATAGAACACAAAAAGAGACACTTGACATAGTACAGGTATGCAAAACGTAGGCTTTGACCTGCCATTCCAGAAGATCTAGGAAAGAATGTTCTTATCTAAATTCTGCTTTCTCTTTCTAAATCCCTCACACACACCCTCTTTCTCTCTGCCACCCCTGCGCCATCTCAGGTCCTCCCTGCCGCCTGGCTGCCTTCCCTCCCGCCATCCTGCTGTCCTGGGGCCAGGTGGCTTCCGGGCCACATTTGGATTTCTCCTCCCTGGGCCCCAGCTGAGGTGCACGGTTCCAGATCAGGACAAAAGGCCTTTTCTTAAGTGGCATTCCTGCCTTTTGCTGGGCCCACCCATCTCCATTCCAGGCAGCTCCTCATCCCCTGAGCCGAGGGCAGGGATGTGGCCGCTGACAGAGCGGTGACCTCACGCCTTCCGCCTCAGGTTATCGGCGCCCCCTCCCTGGAATAGTCTGTGACTCACTGAGGTGAGGGCCCTCCACCCTTTCCTCCCCCACACAGGGAAGTGACCTTTAAAAAGCCTATTGATTACAATCTCCATAATGTGCCCACAGTCTGAATTGGCCCACACCCAGGAATGGGAGGGACCACCTTTTACAGTCCCCCCTCACCTCCCTGCCAGGTTGATTCCCTCTCACCTTGTTGTGTCTTTTTGTATGGGGTTTTAAATCCTGTATGAACCTTTTAAGAAGGGGAAACATATCTTTACCACTGCCAGAGGGGAGGATTATATATTTTTTTCTTCTTTTTAATCCTCATCTGAGGAAATGTTTATAGATGAGAGAGAGAGAGAGAGAGAGAGAGAGAGAGAGAGAGAGAACATCAATTGGTTGCCTCCTGTACACACCCCCAAAACCTAGGTTTATGTCCTGACCAGGGGGTGAACCCACAACCCTTTGGTGTATAGGATTATGCTCCAATCAACGGACCCACCCAGCCAGGGCTTTTTATTTATTTATTTATTTATTTATTTATTTTTAAAGAATAAACAGTATGGAAAGTTCTTCCATCTAAGAACTTTCATCTTGAAATTCAAAGAAAGAGGGCCAGCTGCTTCTCAAGAAGTGTTGTTTCCCGCTGACCATGACCTTCACACAAACGCTTCTTGTTTTCCAGAGTTCGTTGTCCGGCATACTGCAAAGACGAGCCATCCTACTGGGCTCCTGTGTTTGGCACCAACATCTATGCAGACGTGAGTATGCTGGCATTCAGTGACCACCTCTCAAAGCCTATTAAACCCTCAGAAACCACATTCCAAGGTCTGGATACCAGAAACCCCAGATCTCATTCCTGAGCCTCCCCCTAAATTTAGACCAGTCATTTCTGCAACCAGCGCCCTCGTTTCCCACTTACAGGGCTATTTGTCTGGCTGCCTCTGTATGCGTCTGAATGCAGACGCAGGGGGTGCCTCACCATCCGCACATGCTCTCGTGGTTTGCTAAATCAAACCCTGCCTTCCTTGTGGATATGCATCTTTAACCTGAAAGCTTTCATGTGTCACATACTTCACTTCCCAGGCACTCGGAGACCCTTCTGGCTCTCCTGATGTGTTTCGAGACCCGGGTGCACTCTGCTCACTTAGGCTGGGTATTCGCCGAGCGATGAGCACACAGAGGAAAATGCAAATCACACGGATTTTCTTCTCGTCAATATCCACTGGTTATACCGGAGCCTGTTCTTCCATATTTCCCTCCTCATGTTAGCAAGAAAGCTTCAGCCTGATTTTCCTTCAGTAAATCCTCCAGCTGCCCAGGGTTTAGGGACACGGTGACCCGGCAGATGGGAGGATGGCCGAGGCTCTGCCAAGCCATTTACCTCACTGTGACACAAGCCAGCTAAGGCTTTCTAGCCCAGGGAATCTTCCAGATCTGGATTTCCATGATTAGATTAGCACCACTCATCCCCAGCCAGCGTTCCCACTCCACTGCTTCTCGTCTTCCTCTCTGTGGTGCTCGCTCACACACCATCGCCGTCGTTGCCTTCATCGGTCTCTGTTTGCTCTGGGTCCCTGCGAGTGTGAGGACACGGAGTTCTGCGAGGTCAGAGCAGCCTAATGGCGAACGCTTTCCTGTCTTTTTTTCTTTCCTCCTTAGATGAGTCATTGTTTTTCCTCAAAAACTGCCTAGCCAACACTGAGTTCTAAAAGTTTAAAAAAGGAGTAAAATTACACACACACACACACACACACACACACACACACACACACATTATTATACTAAATGTCTGAACCAAAGTCTGCTATTAGAAGACAGAGACTTTGATTTTTAAATGATTCCAAGTGATTCCAGTGAAATACACAGAAGCAAATAATACATACTTCTATCCTATAAAGTAGAATTGAAGATTACTGAGTGGGACAACACGATTCATTATGCAATGACACAAAAAGTATATCTATGAAGCTATGAACGCTAAGTCTACATGCACCAAACAAGATAGCAGCTAAATGTATATTAAAAAAAAAACCAACCAAACAAAAACAAGCCCTTCCCCAAAGGGTAAGAAATATAAGAACTTGATACAAGTTGAGTGATAGCATAAAGCTGCCTTTCCCTGTGTTTTAGAGTCTTTGAAAACACCACCTCCAGCTTTTGTTTCCTCATCTGACAGAGCAGAACAGTAAGGCTCAGAATAACCCGTCCCATAACCTGCCCCAAACCCCACAAGCTAGTACATGGCGACGTGGGATGCCACGAGGTGTGTCTTGCCTTCGGCTCTCCTCATTCCATCCTGTGGCACCTGAATGTACCTGCACAGATAGGCACACTGATGTAGCAGGCATGTGGTGAAGCCTGTGAGAAGGCTTGGACTCATTCTTCAGAGGTTAGTGATGTGGGAACCACAGCGCTCATTGGCAGAGCTTGGCACATGGCAAGCGGTCAGTGAACGTGTGTTGAAGAACGAAATAAACGGAGATACTCCAGTGGTCAGTACTTAATCAGCTCTCCAGAAAGCCAGCGAGGGAAGGAGGGAAGGGAGAAAGGGCAGAGAGGAGGAGGCAGGGCGGGAAGCGGGAGGAGGGAAGGAAGAGGGCTACCTCCGTCCCAGAGGTTCCTTTCTGGCCTTGGTTTCTAGGTCACTCTGAATTCTGGGAAGTGGTGATGTCTTTTGGAAAATGTCTGTTTAGCTAAGAGATTTATTTTGGGAGCGTTGTCTCCAGATCTCCGAAGGGCCTCGCAGAGCCGCAGTCTCGGCCTGCTCACCCAGAGTACTTGGCAGACCCCTCGCTCCGTGGGGAGCTGCGGGCAGGAGAAGCATCAGGGTGTAGCCCCAGCACAAAGTCTGGGTCAGAAGACAAGAGTTCAAGCCCCACTTGTGGCATTTGCTAGTTGGGGGATGGTGGGCAAACCCTGCTCCCCCACTGAACCTCAGTTTCTTATCTGCCCTCCCTATCTCAGTGGTGGTTGGATTAGTTCTTATACTTATGCATCAGCATCCCCGGAGGGCTGTTCAAACAAACTTCTGGGCTCTGCCCCAGCATTTCTGACTCAGTGGGTCTGGGGTAGAGCCAGAGGCCCCAGTGATGCTCACACACTGGTTCGGAACGGCACTCAGAGGACCAGCGGGTTAGAGAGGACCGTCCCTTGAGAATCTTCAGTAATAGTGAGGGTGACAGAGATGATGAAGGTGGTGGTCTTTGTCTGGTTACCAAACTCCTACTGAGCACTCACTGTGTGCAAGGCTGCGTCCAGCCGTGGACCTTACTCAGTCGGCACAAAGGCCGGTTGATGAAGCGGCCCCTGGGCAGAGGGGGCAATTTGCTGGCTCTGGGCGGCGGTCGGGGCTCTGCTGTTTGCCAGTTAATCTCCCCGAGCCCCAGGTTGCCCGACCGTCCAGAGGGACTGCCGAGAACCCCTACGTCGCAGGGTTGTCGGGAGCTGACTGCATCGGTGCCTGTAAAACGCTTGGCACAGGGCCTGCCTTGGTGATGCTCAAAGCTGTAGCTGATCCCCCCTTTACATTGGAAAATAGAGATGCTGGGGCTTAACCTGGCCACCCAGGGCCACGCGGGCAGCGTGGGGGTGGCTCCCAGCCTCGCGGGGACAGTTGTCAGTAAACATTCCGATATTCGTGTGACTGGGGCCCTGCGAGGAGAAAAGGGACAGCTGTACCTCGGTGAGAGGAGAGGTGTGGGAGAAAGCGGGGAGAAAAGGGAAGAAACTGTTTGCTCAGCCTCGGGGATGAAGATGTGTGTGTGGATAAGGGAGAACACCGGGCCTATCGCGTGAGAAAGGGCCGCCATGGGTGTGAGGCTGGCATGGGCCAGGCCACAGCTCCCCGTTGCCTCTGGCATCCGAAGTCCTCGGAGCGGAGGAAAGGCCTGTGGCAGAGGGCACACGGCCGGGGCCCCGCCTCTTGGCAGTAGTTAGTCATGAGTCCGGCTCCCCAGGCAGGGGCGGCGGGGGTGTGGATCCCCCCTGGAAACGGCCCCGGGCTCCCCTTCTGGTAACTCGGGTGGCAGGGTGAGCAATACCGGGAGAGAAAGAAAAAAATGCCAGTTTGCTGCCAGCGAGAGCAGAAAGGGCGCTGTGCTCACTGACAAAGCTCGCCCGCCCTGCGAGTGTAGAGGCGTCCGGTCATGTTCCTTTCTTTCCCGTCTCCCTGCGGTGGCTGTCAAGGGGCTGCTTCTTCAGCCTCGTGGGCACAGACCCTGTTGAGAACTGGAGAGCTGTGGGTCCTCTCCCTGGGGTGGTGACAGGATGCCTGGGACTGAGCGGCTTCCTGGGCTCAGTACCGGCCCCGGGAAGGTTCTTGCTGGCCCGACAGGCGCCCAGAGCTCTGCCTGCACCTCCAGGGCCTCACAGACCCCCTGTGGGCCACCTCGGGCTAAGGACCCGCCCTCGTTAGCTTATTTATTGAAGAAGATAAGATGTGTAGGGGCTTAAGAATCTGGCCTTCAGTTAAGCCAGGTAAACCAATCTTGGGAAGCAAGAAGTCCGGTTCTCCAACACTTAGTATGAATGTGCGTGGGCTCTGGGCTGTCCACCTTTTTTTTTTTTTTTTTTTTTTTACATTCTCTCCTGAGGATTCTTTGATTTTAATCAATTTCCATTGATTCTTAGAGAGAGGGGAAGGGAGGGAGGAGAAGAGAGAGGGAGAGGGGGAGAGAGAGATCAATTGGTTGCCTCCCACATGGACTGTGACCCAGACTGGGGATTGAGCCTGCAACCGAGGTACGTGCCATTGACCAGGAACCAAAACCATGACCCTTTAGTCTGCAGGCTGGCACTCTAACCATTGAGCAAACCGGCCAGGGCACTCTCCACCTTTTTAACAGCAAGCTAACTTTCCAGGGGACCAGCAGCGACGGGTCTTCTGCAGGAAGCATTTTTCTTCTTGTGCAAATCAGCAGCTTCTCTGGAATGAACAGGTTTTTTGAAGGACAAGGCAGTGGCTGAAGGGCAGATGTGGAGGGCAGAACCCCCACTCCCCTCACCGGCACCTAGAATAAATCCAGACTCATGCTGTGGTCCTCACAGCCCCACGTTACTGGCCCCTGCTCACCTCTCCCACCTCTCCCCAAAGCCTTTGCACAAGCTGCTTCCTCTGCCGGGGATGCTCTGCTGCCCTGAGCTGTTGCCATGGCTGTGCTGGCTCCTTTTTGGCACTCAGATCTAAGTGCAAATGGCCCATTTTCCCTGATTAACTGGCCTAAAAATGTCCCGCCACTTAGTCATGTTATCTCACGGTCTGGTTTTATTTGTTCATAGCCCGAGTTATTTGTTTTTGAATTTGTTTACTTGTCTCCCTTCACTCTGTGAAGGCAAGGTCTTTGTTTCGTTCCCTGTGGAATCCCCTTGCATCTAGGACAGGGCCCAACACATAGTGGGTATTCAGGACATCTTTGTTGAACAAATGAATGAACGAACAAATGAATGAATGATGGCAGGTCTCTCTGGAGAGACCACTGAGGAATCAAGGTAGTGATGGTCCTTTCCTCAAGGTTGACATGGCCACCAAGCAGGAGGCTGAGCCCCAGCAGGAGGTTGACCTTCACCCTGGAGCCTGGCCCCTTGACATTGACCACAGCTCCTCCTGTGCTTTCAGACTTCGAGCATCTGTAAGACGGCCGTGCACGCGGGAGCCATCAGGAACGACAGCGGGGGCTACGTGGACGTGATGCCCGTCGATAAGAAGAAGACGTACGTGGGCTCGCTCAGGAACGGGGTCCAGTCTGAAAGGTAGGACTGCGCTCCTCACCTCTCCACACCCAGGGCCGGCAGGGGTGCCCCTGGAGGGCCTGGCAGATGGCCCAGGACGATGCCTGTTAAGATGAAACTTGGGCAGACTTGCAATGTTCTTATGAGAACCCCTCCAGGAAAAGCCTGTACTTTCCTCTTCCTTTCTCTTTTCCAAATAGGAACTTATCTCTTTCTATTACCAATGCATGGTTTTTTAGAAAATTTAGGAGCATCAGAAGAGTCCATAGGAAAACAGCCACCATCACCCGTCACCTGGGGGAGTTGCTGTTAGATTTTTGGTGTCTAACCCTGTGGTCCTTTTCTATGTGTGTATGTGTACCTACCTCTCCTGCCCCCCACAAACAGTGGGTTCCCATTATAGTTACACTAGAGGACACTTTGTGCACTCGGGGGCAGTGGGTTCCTCAGCCCGGCCTGCCCTCTCGCAGTCCAGGGGATGTCCACCTGCCACCTTAGGCCTGATCCCTGAGAAGCCAGGCTCGCTGCTCCTTAGCACTGCCTCGCAGGTGGGAGAGGCTCCCGCCACCACCACTGCACTTGCCAGCCGTGAGCCTGGCTTCTGGCTGAGCGGCACTCCCCTTGTGAGAATGCACTGACCACCAGGGGGCAGCTCCTGTGTTGAGCGTCTGCCCCCTGGTGGTCAGTGCACATCATAGTGATCGGTTATTCTGGTCATTCCACCATAACGATTGCTGGGCTTTTATATATAGATAGATAGATAGATAGATAGATAGATAGATAGATAGATAGAGGTTCGATATGGTTCCATAATAATGTACTTACATATCCTATCAAATAAAGAGGAAATATGCTAATTGACCATCATGCCCTCACAAAGATGGCAGTACCCACAGCCAATAAAGAGGGAATATGCTAATTGACTCCCACACCCTCACAAGATGGTGGCACCCAGTCCTCTCAGTCCTGCCTCATCCAGCCAGAGTCTCCCAGTCCCCTCAGCCCTGCAGGGGAAGGCATTTGGAGGTGATCAGGTCGGCAGGGAAAGGCAGTTGGTGGCGATCAGGCTGGCAGGGGAGGGCAGTTGGGGACAATCATGCTGGCAGGGAAGGTGTCAAACAGGCCTGTAGAGGAGCAGTTAGGGGGGCTATCAGGATTGTAAGCAGAGTGGTTAGGGGCAATCAGGCAGACAGACAGGCAAGTGGTTAGGAGCCAGCAATCCGGATTATAAGAAGGATGTCTAAGGGGTTCAAGATTGGAGAAAGTGCATGCTGGACTGAGGGACACCACCCCTCCCCCCATCACAAATTAATGCACCAGGCCTCTAATTGTTACATAAATGAGAGCAGAGAGTCTGGAGGCTCTGCTTCTTACCAGCTTTGTGACCTTGAACTGCCGCCTGATTTCTTTGAGCCTCAGTTTTCTCCCTTGTGATATGGGGATAACAACAGCCTCTACCTCACAGGGTGGTGGCAGGATTCGCTGAGACGATGCCCAGCCCTTTTTACAAGCACACCGGTCATACTGGGGCAGGGCCTTCCACAATGACCTCACTTAATTTAAGTACATCTTTAGAGGCCCCATCTCCAAGTGCAGCCCTGAGGGTGCTGGGGTCGGGGCTTCAGTGCGTGAACTGGGGAGGGGGCTCAATGCAGCCCATAGCACAGGGGCATGCTGAAGACTTTACATTTGAGGGCCCTCTTTAGAAAAGGTGTATAAATCAAGAACACAAGATGCGCTAAGGCCCCTTGGACCTTAAGGTCTCATGGCTCCATCCTCCCCCCCCCCCCCCCATCCTCCCAGAGCGCGCTGAGCCTCCGGGCGGAGCTGTGCGTGAAGACCTTTGCGGAATCCCATGACGGGAATCACACACGCTGCACAGTCACTTGCCCTCAGCCCCGGAAGCTACAGCTAATGGCTCACGCAATTTCTCCCTCCGCATTTGCAACCTTTGTTTGGGAAAAGCTTAATGAAGGGAAATTCCACAGATTTAATGGGAGGGAAATGAAGCCGCTGATGAGGTGGAATTTCCTGGCCAGGCTGGGAAGAAATCCCAGGACACCAATCTGTCCAGCCCTTTAAGAGAAAGTGGCGTGGTGGGCCGACCTTTGTTCTCGGCCTATGCCATCCTGAGGACATCGCCGCAGCTCCCAGGGCTGCAAAAGGGCTTATTGTGTGGCCTCCAAGGGGGGGTGTCTGGGGAGGACAGGGACCTAGACGGAATCCCAGAATGGGCTTCTTTTTTTTTTTTTTTTCCTTTTTTGTAAACAAGGTAAAAATTTTACTCATATCTGTTCAAGTTACAAATAGGGTGACATCATCTGCATCCTTCCAATTCAATCAGCGAGGTATTTCTTTTTATTATTGAAAGAGCTCATATTTGATCTATTTCTGTTGGTCTGGTTTTCATACTCAGAGAGAATTGCGTTAATATACTTGCTTACCTTTTCACAGACGGCTTCGGTACTCAGGTTTTATAACATGTCCTTCCATAACTTCCTGAGATTGGCTGGGAAGCGTTTTGGACGCATTCCCTTAAACTCCAAATCACAACTTTTATGCAGAAATATGCTCATTCTTCAGTCTTCTAGCAATGTAGTTTACTGAACAAGAAACTCCAACTTATTGAAAATGTTTTGTCTAAAAGAATTTGAGGTAGAAAGTTTCTGAACTATCATTTGAAGTAGTTTGGTTGAGATCATAATTCATATTTGGGGGGGGGGCGGTTGGGGCATAAGTTTTGTGAGGACACACAATCTTGACCACAGAATGGGCTTCTTGTTCACTGTGACGCTCCCCTCCCCAGGGGGGCCCGTCATTCATGCTCTCTCCCCGGGGACCCACCTGAACGGCCATTCTCATTGTGAGCGTCGGCCAGCCAGCCTTGCCCAGGCCTGACGTGGCTGCAGCCGCTGCCGTGTTCAGAAGGTGTTAGTGACTTTCAGAAAGGGTCAGTGAGCTGCCATAGCGCCATAGCGGCGACTCTGCTCCCCTTCTTCCCCGGGCTCTTCCCTGCCCCTCACCCCGCATCCTATAGTCTGGAATCTGTGATGATGTTTGCTCAGATTCCTCCACTTTCTGTGCCTCGGCTTCCTCACCTGAAAGGGGGAAATGATAGCTCTGACCCCTGAGTGGTGGTGAGGTTTGGGGAACTCATTGTGGGCTCCTCAGGCCTGCAGCGAACCCGTCAACCGGGCGCTGGTCAGAAGAGCAGATCCTCGGGCCACCTCAGACCCGCAGAGTCAGAAACCGGCTGTGACCCGCCCTCGGGGGTCCTGAGGCACACTGGAGGGTGAGGACCCCTCCTGTAAGGGTGATGGAAGGGCACCATATCCCTGGCACACGTAGCCAACACTGTACCTGATTCTGACATGTTGCCCTTAAGAGTCTTCATTTACTACACGCGGTGTGCCAGGACCTGCGCGGGGTCCATGGCACCCAGATATCAGGGTCCACCCTGCATGGACGGAGGGAAGAGGCTGCACCAGAGGGCACAGAGGGCCGTTGGCATTTGGGACCCTGGTGCATTGTGTGTCCTTGGGAAGGCAGATCTCCCCCAGCCGAGGTCCCGCTGCATCAAATGGTTGCCGTGACGATGAATGAGATGGTACGTGCTTGTAGGCATGGCTCATAGTAAGTGTCCGATGAGGCTGGTTGCCCTTCTCCCTGTGGCATACCTTCTCAGGTCTGCTGTGCACCTCACGATGTTAGAAACAGCCTTAGATATATTACCTTTCAGGACAAGGAAGAGGATTGTTAAGGAATTCAGTCTTTCCTCTTGCATCCGTCCTCCCTATATGCATTCACATCAGATGCCTTATGCGGGGTTAGCCCTAGTGTCCAGGCACCAGGGCCAGCAGGGAACCCGGCCTGCCCTCCGCCCTCCTGGGACTTGTAGTCTGGTCTGGGGACAGATATGGAAATATTGTAGTGGCGGGGCACTCGGTGGTTCTGTTATAGAAGGAGGTACAGGGAGCTGGTTGTGTCTAGCAGGACCCCAGCTTACCGTCCAGACTCGCCTGCTTGGGGACGTGGCTGCAGCAGATGCGTGGACATCTCCATTGTGGCCCTGCCCCATCTCCCCATGTTCAGATGGGACCTCAGCCGCCCTCTACACAGATCCCAGGCTGAGACATTTCCCCAGAGCCTGTCCCCTGAGGGCAGTGGTCGGCAAACCCATTAGTCAACAGAGCCAAATATCAACAGCACAATGATTGAAATTTCTATTGAGAGCCACATTTTTTAAACTGAAACTTCTTCTAACGCCACTTCTTCAAAATAGACTCTCCCAGGCCATGGTATTTTGTGGAAGAGCCACCCTCAAGGGGCCAAAGAGCCACATGTGGCTCGAGAGCCGTGGTTTGTCAACCACTGCCTTAGGGAATGTGGGGAACAATTTGGGCCAGAGGGTGGCTCTGTCCCCAGTGTCTGCTGGGACCCTGGAGTGGTCACATCCGGTTTCAAGGGAGATGTGGGCCCTGACCATTATTCCCAGCGAACTGGGTTCTAAATGTAGGGAATCCTTCAGTCACTCAAACCAACAAAACTCCTGAGCAGCACTGCCAGCACGCGGCCAAAAGTTGGTTCTGCTTCAAAGTGGCATCGGTTTACGGGTGGGGAATGTCTGGCCCTCGGGCCATAGAAGGCCTAAGAAATCATTTGTTCTGGCCCTGCCAAGGCATTGGGGTGAGTTGGTTACATGTTTGACCAAATATAGCAGGCTAATTTTTAAGCTGATATTTTGTCTGGCCTGAAAATGATGCTAGAAATACCCCATGGCCCTGGGCAGGAAAAGGCTCCCACCTCTGGTCCAGAGGAGGCTTTCCTGAGCGTTGTGAAAGGTGGCCGTGCCGAACGGACAGCGTACGGGGACAGGCACCTTCTCTCACACACTGCCCGGGGAGGAGAGCAGAGGAAGGAAAGGACGTCAGAAAGAGCTTTTGGTGTGGGGTCTGGGCTTTGTGCAGATATTCTGAGGAAGAAGCTGGACATCTGGGTGAATATAGGTTCAAGATGTTTTC